CCGCCTGGCCCGCGCCCGGGCTGGGCCCACCGCACACCCAGGGGACTGGCTGTTTGCTGGGGTGTGCTGCTGGGTTCTGCTTGCGCTGGTGACGTGAAGGAGCCTGTAGGCATTTCAGAGCAGTGTGCTGGTGGGTGTAGATATCCGCGTTTTTCTTACCTTAAGCATGGCAAATACCCTTGTAAACCAGTATGTTAGCGTTTAGCATGTCTGAATGGGAATTGTTTCTAAATGTTCCTACATGTTTTCCTTCACAGTCTTTATGAATGCAGCAATACCAATTGCAGCTGTACTTATAGTAAGTATGGACTTTTCTAAGTAGCATTAATTACAACTGCGTTTCAATTATAAGTGATGTGGAAATGAGGAAGGAGGACAGGACACAAACCTGCTGCACATTTGCAATTCCTCCGGGAGAGAATGGAAAATGCCCACTTGTTGTCTGCGAGCAGAAGCAGCCTGGAATATGCAGCACTCCCCAAACCATTAAGAGAGTATAAATTAAGATTCTGTAAATGAAATGCTTAGGAAATATGAATTCTTTGTGCATTTCCTTCTTTATGACAAAAGGCTGATGATAACGTCTCTCTTTGTAGACATTTGTGGTCCACGCTCATCTGACAACAAAGGCTGACTTCTCCCCATCTGTGGCATTTGCCTCCATCTCCTTGTTTCATATTCTTGTGTCTCCATTGTTCCTGCTCTCCAGTGTGGTTAGATCCACTGTCAAAGCATTAGTAAGGTGAGAACTGTAAAGTTAGTATCTTTGCAACCACCTCTTCAACTTTTGAGAATGTTTATTGCTCATTTTACAATGGTAAGTTTAGAAATAGCATGGTGATTATTTCTCTGTCGTTGTAAATTGCTTACCAGCTTTTTACCTTGGATGGTTCCCTTGGGTGTAGCATGTGGGCCAAGTTCTTTGCTGATACAGTTGTTATAACCAGCATTTTTGTGGTCCACAGCTCATAGTTCATTGTGTAGAATGAGTTAAGCTATAATTGTTACTGCAGGCAATGTATGTACGGTAGCAAGAAAGGAAGTGAAAACTTACTGAAGATTAGTTTCATAAATCACCCAAATGTTTCTCTCCATCAAGCATGTAGAAAGGCACAAGGTAATCACAGAAGATCGTGTGTTTCAGCATGTACCTCATGGGCTGTGCTCAGCTTCCACCCCTCTGCCTGAGAGGTTGCCTGTTGGAGAGTTAGACTTAATCAAATAAACTTAAAAAAGCCATAAAAATCACTGTTAAGTGTGAGACTAAGTTAGTGACTAAATGTCTACTTCAGACTTGATGAATTTTTACTTTCTTACAAACATGTTAGTCTGAGTGTTCAAAAACTGAAAAAATAACCACCAGAACTGCTCTTTTACTGAGAGTTTTCCTTTGAGTATTGCCAACAGATTTGTGTTAAAATCTCTTAATGCTTTTCAAATGCAGTGTAACTCTACCTGACTGATGGGGGAAGAGAGAGTTTGGACTTCTTAGTTTATTAGGACCTCTTTGTAACCTCCACTATAGCTGTCTGAAGAGCTCGTCTAAACTATGCGACAGATACTGGACACCAGCTCTTGCTTAATTGCCTTTGTGTCACTTTGGAGATGGAAGGGAGACTGCAGCAGGAGGCTGAGATTGCCCTCACTGTTTCAAAATTCCCTGACGGTGCAAAGTCACAGCTGTGTCCTCTCTCCTAACAAGTGTGGAATCTGAGAGCATCAGCAGCTGGCATGAAATGTTTTGCAGCCACTGTGGTAGTCTCTAGAGTCAGGGCAAATTGTCATGTTAAGATTGCAGCCAGCAAAGCATTCAGGGGCCTACTCTGGCACTGGTGTTAGGCAGTTAGGATTTTGGCCTGTGTAAGGATTTCTTTGTGAATGTGTTTTCCTTTGTGTGCCTGTTAATGCTGCAGGAAGTTTCTGAAGCAATTAGCATCTACCAACTCTTAATTGTTGCTAGTTGGGAGTTCTTTTTGAGTTATTCTGTAGTTATCTCCTTGTTAGCAGGCTATTGTACTGCTATTTGTGGTGCAGGCAGGAATCCCCTGGTTCAGGCTCTGTAAGGAAGGTGACAGGATCCCTGTCCTGACTGGCTGCACCACGGTAACCCAGGCAGGGTTCCAGAGCCCAGTGCTCCATGCTGCTGCTGGTGCTACTCTAGATGTGCCTGCTTCGGACCCCAGCCTTCAGTGCAGTGCTTTGGAAGCACGTGTCAGATATTTTCAAGGTGTGCAAACACATCCTTGCTGGAATAGTTTGGGCAAGGTGAAAACACAGACAGATACTAGAAACCTGTGTTTGTGCCAATTGAGCACAACCAGCATTTACTTACTATAACTGTGTCCTGCTCTTACACCTTCCTGTAGTAAGCAGCTGATCAGTAAGATCAGGTAAAGGTAACCTGATAAAGCTGTACTTGAGCATTCTTTAGGCTGAGATATTCTAATTTGTTTTAGCAAGCATACAAGACAGCTTCTCCTGTAGTGACAGAGAGGAGACAGGTGAAGCAGAAGGTGATCCAGCAGTGGAACCATCACATAAAGGAAATTAAAAGGGCTCTGTTAATATTGGCTACAGTATCTGCTGCCAGATGCTCTGAAGGACAATGACATCTATAAATCAGCTTGTCAGTATCTTTAATCATTACACATGTGCCCAATTCCAAAGCATCTTCATGGATTGCCGTTGACACTGTCAGGACAACTGTGTGATTGATTCCAATGGTAAAACAGATTCAGAACTTCTGTTCTACATAGGGCAACTGCAAACTTTCCAAGTTATGGGGCTAGGGTATTTGCTTCTGAGAGGGGGAACAGTGGAAAGTCTTTATGAAGGTGAGAAATTCCATTACGTCTTTGAAAAGTCTGTTGTGTTTTTTTAAATATGTAGAGTGTTTGTGCCACTGAAAATTAAAACTGAGCAGGCAGTTGATGTATTTCTTAAATATGAGGTCTTCAAGGACAACGTGTGTACCGTTTTCCATCAGCAAAGGTCAGGTAGCAAGAGTGGCATTATGTATCTTACTGGGTTGAATATGAAACCGCTTTCACAGTCAGCTGTGCAAATAACCATGTTTTAATCAATACATCTGTTCTGTGGCTTAAAAATAAGCTCCCCCCATGGAGATGCTGCAATTTCACTGGTATTCCAGCATCAGAGAATGCTCTGCAGAGAACATACTATTTTATTCCTTAAAGTGTAGAATGGTGCAGCATCCTGAAATGAGTTGCTGTCTCTAAGAAAAGGTTTTCTCTCAGCTATACTGTGGTTCCTCAGTAATTGCCACAGGATCAGCAAGTCCAGAAATAAGCAGAACATTGGGCAGAGGGCTTGCAGGGAGAAGTCTTGGCACTTAGAGTACAGCCACCTTGATACACAACTAGTTAGCAGTGACAAAAATCAAACTCTTGAATAGTTCAATAAAGAAATGGCCTTTGGGTATGCATGGTCCAAGACCCTGGAGCAGATACACAGGGGACTTCTCTAGCTGCTCTTTATACCTTCAGAGCAATTATTCAAATGTCAGTGTAATTTTCCTGTAGAGAATGTAGGTGCAGCTGCATACCAATTCTCCATATAGGCAGCATCTAAACCATCGTTTGGTCCATTTGAAGGCTTTTAAAATGTTCTTTTACACATCTGGTTCACTGAATAAAAAAGGTAAAATCATTCCTAGCCCTGTTTTCCAGAGTTTTGTGCACATAGATATAAATATCTCTAGTGATAGGGCTTTTAATTTCTTCCTTTGAGATAACAGGCCTTTCTGCTAAGGAATTTTGGTCCAACATTGAATCGTAATCTGTTATTACTTCCCTCGTCCCATCCAAAATAGTTATTCTTCTTTTCAGGTACTTGGATTGTAGTACCTGCTCTAGCTAAATTCACCCCACTATCTCGTAGTCCTCAGCTGCCATTAGCAAGTGGGCAGGTTGACAGAAAAACTGTAGAACCATTTCTCTCTTAGGAACTGCCCGGGTGACTCCGGTCGCTGCCTGCAGGACAAGTGCTGACTGCACAGGGGTCAGCCTCCAGCAGGGCTGTGGTGCTTCAGCACCAGTGGGGTAGCTTACGAGGCTCTTAGAGGAAACTAAGTCTCCTTCTGAAGAAGAAATCCCTGGCAGTGGAATGCAAATTAAATGCTGGGGTATTTATTTATTTATTATCTTTTTAAGATTTGGATACGAAAAGATAGCCACATATCACTATTCTACAGTGGCATTGTTTGCCTGTTTCTTCACAATTAACCTAAGGCTAAATATTGAAACCAATTTCTTCAGTCTTTGTCCATAAATTTATTTTTAGGCACTTAAAGGCCTTCTGGCACTTTAGTGTTTTGGAGAGATGTAGTTAACTTATTTCCAGCTATTGAGTGCCTTTGATGTTGAGTTCATGATTCAATCCACTTCCTTTACAAATTTCATTTGCTCTCCTTGGGAGTAGATTAGATATACATTTTATAAAGTCAGGTACAGAGATAAAATTGATGTTATGATCTGTTAAATGTCATAATAAGGGCACATTATCTCTTAGCTAATGAAATCTTAGGCAGCTTGTGAAGATTTTATGCCTTCTCCTTTGTTGCGGTTGTCAGGATTCTTTTTCTATCTCATCTGTTAAGGTGTATTCCTTTATCACATTATCTCATGTATTTCATATTTCATTTTAGTTGGTTGAATTTAGTTGACGGTGTAGAGGTCTCATCAGAGTGCTAGAGTTCATAAAACTTCCACCAGAACTGATTGCACAACACTTCAGTAACATAAATTACATTGATTCTGCTTCAGCACATGCCTTCAAAACAAACCACTGTTGTAGGTGGTCTGCATCCCACCAAATGCCTGAAAAATTCTTTTGTGTAATCTCTCTGGTGGTATCAGGAAAGACAAGACATGAGAAGCACCTGCACAAACCATTAAAATATACTGTTAATATACAACAGGGCAGGTTTTGTCAACTGCCTTGCAGTAACTTCTCATTGCACATTTTCATGGGCCTGTAACAAAATGGGAAGACACGAACAATGCAGCAGAGTGGTTGAGGTACTAAAAAAGATGCTCTGTGATGAACATGCAGCGAACACAGTCTTGCATTCCAGACTGTGGTGTGATTCTGTTTTTCCATTTCAGTGTGCAGAAACTGAGTGAATTCCTGTCAAGTGAAGAAATTGGAGAAGAGCATGATAAATCTGCAGAGCTAAGAAGTGCAGATAATCACAGCAAGTACCAGGCGGTGGTGAGTTGACCAGTGCTGTTTAACTGCAGGTGAAGTGGCTGGAGCTATTTGTACCCAGAATAAATTGTTTACTTTTCCATTTCCTAATGATTATGTCTTGCAGTTGCAAAAACTCTCTTTAATTGCCTGAACTGTGTGGGTCATAACATGGTTGCTTGGGTTTAGGACATTTTGCTGGTACTGCCACCAATTACTGCTTATTGCTGTCTTTCTGATTTTGTGCAGCCACTCAAAGTCGTTAACCGCAAAAGGCCTGCCAGGGACGACTGGAACAGTTACAGCTCTCACATGAGGAGACCCATCAGCATCACAGAAGCAGATGATTTTTGTGTAAAGGTGATATGAAGGTCACTCTAATAACACTTACTATAGCTTATAAGTAGTCGCTTTGGTATTCTGATGGAAGTTTCAAACTGAAAGAACCAGCACTGGATGTGAACAGTCAGACATTTGTACTCCTGTCAGAGGTTAACCTCCACCTTTCTTTTCTATCTCCTCCATTTGAAGAACTGACTGCTGACATCTATGTTGTGCTTAGCTGTGTATATTCCTCTCGATTTTCCTCAGCAATTTTCTGTTTGAAGAAAGTCAATAGCCCTGTTTTCCTGGCAAAAATTTCCAACTTAGAACAACCCAGGTTGGAAGGCACCTGAAAAGACCATCTTGCCCAACCTTTTATGTATGCCAGACTCCTCCTTTGATTTACAATGTCTGTACAGAAAAATGGTATGATGAAAATGAAAATAATTTGGTTTAAACATTCCTAAAATAACCTTCTCGTGTGTCTTCCCTTACTCTTTTAGAATTCCTAGTATCCTTTCAAGATGAAGTTAAAAACTAACCCCTAAAGACTTAAGTTCTTTGAACAAAAATTGAAATTACCCATGACACTTTGAAGACTGATGCTCTTGATTTGCTATAGAAATGGCCAGAAGTAATAACAATCCTGATGGTTATTATAGTGATGTTGCTGTTTATTTGGACAGTCTGCTATTATCTTTGCATTTCTTACACAAGAGAATTAATAGTTCAGCTTGATGGGACTAAGTAGGACAACTGGTAGTGCTTCTGGGGTTCTTTTAGAGACTGTCCTCTGACATGCTGCTTTGGTGCAGGTTCCTTCTTGAAAAGACTTCCAGGAAAATATGAGGAATATTTGAGAGGTTTTGAGGTGGCGGTGTTGGACCAGAAGAAGGCCTGGAGAGAGACAAAGGAGTTTGTCACAAAGGAGAGGCCAGAGCAGTAACCACTGCAGGGACAGTGTTTATAAGGTCTTGAGTAGAAAGCCAGGACCAGTTATAATCTTTGGCTCCATCTGCTGATATCGTTGTCACCAGTGGAACCTGGGGCAGGGAACTTCTGCAGTTTCTAAGTCCTGTCTGTCTGTAGCTCATTGCCCATGGAGGAGCATTTTTTGAAACAGGATCCCCTGGCTGCCTTCAGTAATTTAAAGGGAGGAGCACTGCACTTTCTTTTGCTTATTTTTTCAGGTCATTTCCAAAGATAAAAGTATCACTTTTTCATCATGGTAGGATCAAAGTGTCCCATTCCACTCTTCTCAGATCAAAAAACGTTGTACCTTGCATTGCTGAAAGGCTTTGAAGGCTTCAGGGAGTGAAAAAGTGAGAGAAGAGAGTCCTGTATAAATACAGGCCTTTTAAAATTGTCTCGTCTTGCCTATTTTTCCTCTAGCCATGGAAATCTCCACTTAAAGTCCTGAACAGGCTTTGTTTCTTGCTTTTAGTCATTTCTTCAGTGGGAAGATGTCTGTATCCAGCAAGGCTTAGCTTATCTAAGAACCGTATCAGAAATACAAAGGAAAATGTTGTACCAGGTAGCAACTTCTAATTTCTGAGAAAAGTTCTGCAAATCTGCTTGGAATTTGGACCATGTCATTGCTGCAGTGAGTGCCTAGAGTGACATTCAGTGTTCTGCAGAGAGCAAACCATGATTCTGTATCTCATGTAATTGTATTGTCGTCATTTCACTTCTTTTGTGTGCCCACTTCACAAATAACAAAACAAAAGAAACCCTAAACAGCAACTACTTTTTCCTCAGGAATTTTCCTTAATTTTCTAACTGTTGTGCTTGTTGGAGTTCAGAGATTCTTGCACATCAGAATACAGACCTCTACCAAATCAGTCACTTGAAGGTCTGTTTCCTGCAGGGAGCAAAGACTATCTCAGTTCCCGTGGTGGAACTCCTGTCTGAGTTCCTATGCTCAGTGCAATAGGAACAGAAGTGCTGTCTCTCATGTTGGAAAAAGATGTCAGCTCTAAATCTGAATTTCTGTTTCTTGTTTCTCTCTATCTTGGCATAGATCATAAATGGATTTTTCACTTGGACACCTGAAGGTCCTCCAGCACTGTCCAACATTGATATCCGAATCCCTCAAGGTACAAAATGACATCAGGCACACAGAATAAGACATTTTTCTGTGAGCATTTGGTAAACTGGAAGCTTATGCACACCTTCTTCTCTCACAGGTCAGCTAACAATGATTGTAGGACAGGTTGGCTGTGGTAAGTCATCTCTCTTGCTGGCCATACTTGGTGAGATGCAGAAGATCTCTGGGAGCATATTCTGGAGCAGGTAGTGCTATTTAAAAAGTCAAGATTGAGTTGAGTGGTAATGCATAAAAAAGCCAAAATCTATGGTGGGATCCTTTCTGTGGAGTCATGAGGTTTGTAGGTGTACGTTCAAGACAAAAACCTTAACCTAAAGGTAGGGGAGCATATCAGAAAGAACCCCCAGCTCCAGGGTCAGCCAAGCTGCTGTTCCATTAACAGGAATAGATAACCATACCTGGGCATTCTGCACTCCAGCAACACAACCTGAGTGAAATCATAACTGATTTGGGATCAGAACTGATTAGCTGAAGTGTTGTGCTGCTGTAGAATGGCATTTGCTCTTTCAGGCCTGAGCTCATGCCTTTGAATGGAACTATGAAGAGGTATAAAGACGCGTTGGCTCCCCAGAATCGGCCCCTGTCTGTGCTTTTAGATGTGTCCCCCATCCCAGCACTCAGCTAGTGCCTGAGAAACCAAAGAGGTTTTTACAAGTGGCAGTGACCTCAGGGTACTCCCCCAGTGCATCCTGCCTGGTTTGACAAGAGGGAGACAGTCACGTCCTTCCCTCTTTTCCCAAGGGGACACAGCAGCTGCACTCTGGCAGCCAGATACAGGCTTGTGTTGGACTTCTGTACTGGCCACGAAGGGAGGAAAAAACCACTACCCAGCTCCAGCAGCTGTACTGGTGGGGCTTCATCTCTTGGCCCTCAGACCAAGTGACAGATGGTCTAATATACTGCAACCCTGTGCGTGGTTTCCAGTAGATCACTGCCATCTCCAGCACACTGGTCAAGGTGTGTGGACGTTTCTGGCCTGTTTATTTTACAGTTCTGGACTTCCTAGTTATGCAGGCTATGCCTTGCCTGTTGGGATACAGTTCTTTGTGGGTGAAGCTTGACAAATTGCAGAAGAACCTAGAGAAATGATTAATTTTATTGATTGGGAATGAAGGAATAGTGTAGCTCCAAGTCAGATCCACACACTCTGATAGACAGAGGGTCATTGTTATCCAGTGGGTTCTGCAATGATTAGTGAAACTATTCTTACAAATTCCATGAGTGTTTGTAGAGAGATGTTTTTTATATCCAGTCTTCACATGTAAGCCTGTCACAATGCTCAGAATTGCAGATGCTTTAATAGTAATAGGACAAGGCAGGAATGTTCCCTATTTTATAGGTGAGGAAAATGAAACCTAGGAAGGGGATGCTTTCAACTGGCGAGGGAGACAAGAGCAGAAGCCCCAGTTCCAGAAGGTGGTGATCTATCCACTGTAACATACCTCCCTAAGCAGAAGATCAGAGTATGGTTGAGGAACCATACTGAATCCCTGCAGCCTTATTAAGTGGACTAATTTCATTTCAGCAAGGCTGTAATTTTTTACAGATGACATAACATGATTAAGAAGTGTAATTTGAATGTCTGATGCTAAACTAAAACAGATGACATGATGGTTCTGATCAGACTGTGGTTTTAAATAGCCCTTGTTCAGAAGTATGTGCTTCACAACGGTCTAAAGGTCAGAACTGGTTTTCACATCTTCTACATGTGCCAAAGTATCACAAGGTAAATTCACTTATCACATTTGCTTTGCTATCTGTCAGAGATGTGTAGAGGGGCTTGTGGCTGAAGCAGTCTTAGCCCTGTCAGTGCTGGCTGCAGTGGGACAGATTTTGTCTCATTGTTCAGAGCTGGTCTATGCAGAGTGCTGGATGCAGTCAGTGTAGGCTGCACGCCTGTCTTGTGAAGCTAGCAGCTGAAACCTCACTTAATGTGGTAAAAGAATACCAATGCCAGGTACATGCAATGTTATCCCAGGTTCAGGGAGAGTAGTCTTACCAAGTAATCCCCAGAGCTTGTAGCCTTAGCTCAGGCAATCACCAAAATCAGTAAGATCCTTGTTACAGCTCTTTCTCTGGAATGAGACAAATGCTTGGCTTCAGTAATTCATGTTACAGAATAGTCCTGAATTATTTAATTCCAAGTTTCCTTCCCCTTCCCTTCCTCCAAGGTCACAGTTATGAAGATGAAGGATGCATCCTGCTGACATGTCACTTGGTGCTCAGGAAATCTGGATTCTATTCCTGGCCCTTCCCTTGGTCTAATGGATAACCTTGCAGAAGTCATTTCCCTACTCTGTGCCTCCATGCTCTATTGATAAAACAGGATTACCTGCATATCATCTGTATTTGCTTCCTATAAAAATTATTTGTTTCAAAATCTTACAAAGACATTTAATATAATCCTGGGCTACAAGCTGTCTAATCAGAAGTGAGCACTGGCTCATTTGTGATTTTTTGGTGGTGGTTTGTGTTACAGTGTGTCTTGGAAGGTCCAGCTCAGATCCCTGTCCCTTGTGCAAAGCAGGCTGAGAGCATGTCAGCATAAATATTTAATAATATGATTAGAGGTTAACAAAAACAGAGAAATGATGATTTACATTCTGAACAGATGGTAAATAGTATTGATTTGACAGGTTATTGAGTAAATAATCACAGTATATGTCATGCTCATTTGTTATGGGCAGTGTCTCACTTTAAAAAGTCCCAGTTCAAGTCCAGGGGGCAGTTCATAGTGCAAGTCCTTTTGGATTGAATAATACCAGAATATTGACCTAAATAAGAAATAGTTTGCTCAGACAAAACCATGTCACTTTTTATCTACACAGGACATACCTACTCTCATCTGAGTCTAGAGTCCTTATAGTGTGAAGTGCCAGGTTTGTTAAGGTTGTTAACCATAGTCCATATGGAGTTCACCATTTTCATTAAATGACAATATTCTAAAAGATATTTTGATTGAGTTTTATAAATATGTGTTTACTGGAGTTTTCAGAAACACCCAGGTACTTGGTAGTTTCTGTAAAGAATTGCTACTCAGTGGCATGCAGCAGGTTCCTGGGGTTTTGGAGAAGGTGCCACTGTGTCACTGAAGAGCAGAGGAGTGTGAGGTAACAGTGGAAAAGCTTTGTTCAGTACGCTGACCTTTGGCATAAAGATCCTGGTGGCTGGCTGGTGCTCTCCAATCCAACAGTGAATTGAACTTGGATATGGTCGTTGCTTACTATGCATTAGCTTTTTGGAAGTGTCTCAAAGCAACTGTTTAAACTGCAGGCATAATTTTCTTCCTTGGCCATTTATAAACCAACGGTGTTAGCACAAAGTTAATGTGACTGTTCTCTTTAAAGCATGAAAAACTTTGTCCCTTCTTGATGTTGTTCATACCACTCGGCACACGGATTTTACGCTGTTTTCAGTGGAACTGGATTTAGCATCAGTACTAGGGCTGGCCAGTCATCCTGTCCAACAGCTCTGTCTGTGAGCATCTTGGTACACGTTCAAAAGTAGCAAAACCAAAACCTGACCATCCCTCTGACCTGCCTGCGCTTACTTACACAGGCATGTCCCCCAAGGATAGGGCTGATACAGAACACAGCATGTTGCAAGTCAGCTGAAAGTGGGATTTGTGGCTCCACCTAATCCATTATATCCATATATATGTATGTGCAGTTACTGCCTTCGAAAAATGCAGTATCATAAATTATCAATTTCTTTTCCTTGAATATGTCTTTTTTTTTTAATGGAACTGCATTCTTGTCACACTAGGACCTCTCACTTCTGTTAGCACCTCCAGGACAGAGTGGAGCGTATTTTAGTTGTAGAGTCAAATTAAATGCTTATAAGGAAAAAAAAAAGAATTTTTTTCTTGACTGCTAACATCAAGTCAGTTTGTGTAGAAGGAACAGATGCTGCACTGCAGCTCTGTGATAAATACTGTTTGCTGCCTGTGCACTAAGTGGAATTTAATTGTTTTTCTTTCTGGGGCAGATTGCCTGTGCTTACTTAAGTAAACAGCCTTTGCTTTCTGTTTGTGTTGCAGCTGTACTTCTGACAGTGAGACAGGGGAAGATGTCAGGTATAGTATTGTATTGGTCTTCCTACTAAATCAATCGTGATAAAAGGAACCACAGGTTTTTAAAATCTATGCTTAAGGTTTTCAGAGTCAGAATTCTGAATATCATTGAAACTTTCACTGTATTAACTACCTTAAGACCCAATTTTGAAAACCACCTATGTGACTTAAGAAAATGAGAGCTGGATTTCCTTTAAGAAAATATTGCAGTTTGGCAATTTTGAACATCATATCCTAACTTTTCCTGTATGTCTTTGAAATTCCTTCTTTTAAAGGATGAACCAGATTATTCCCTAATACTACACTTGAAAAACCAGTCTCAAGTATTGCTTTAAATGTATCATTTATCAAAACACATTCTCCCCATTACCCTTCTCTTCATTTTTTACATCATGTCATAAGTTTATTTTCTCACCTAGCATTCTTCAGGCGCACACAAACTGAGAAGTGTGGGGAGTAGCAGATCAGTCCATCTGTTGGCAAGGGATCCTTGCATGGAAATTATTTTTACCTGATTAACATAGCTCTTCTTGGATTCTGGGAATAGCTACCAAATGAACTGAGAGCAAAGCTTTCTGACATGGTTGTTATTCTAGTGTGGCACACAAACCTTCAGAATTGTAAGCTTTGTAAGAGTGACCATCCTGGTCCTGCTGAAGTCAGTGAGAACTTTGTCCCTGAAATCAGCAGAGGAAAAATGTCACATGTTGTCCCTTTTCTTGACTTACGCTAAACTGTGGGTCTTCTACTGACCATGATATTTTCTTGGTTCTGTGACACACCAACTACTGCCTTTTCTTTTAGATTTATCAGGCTCCTCTCTCCCATTTACCTGACTTCTCAGACTTGTTAATTGGTTGTCAGACTGAGTCCTGCAAAATTTCTGCTCCTGTGTGTATGTAGTATAAGAGGGACTTTGATGTAGCGACTAAGCCTCATGCTAAAGGATACTGGAAATCTCAAGTCTTTCTGTATGAGACTGCAATTTCTGAGCCAAGTTAAAGTGAAACCATTTGAGCCCATTAAGATACAAGAGAAACAGGATCAGAATTCAATCTTTGCATGTCTGAAACTGTTATATTAGGATGGACAGCAGATGGTGAGACAGCATGCACAACAGTATGGCAAGCATATTAAAAAGTAGGAAAGAATATTATACTTTATGAAACAAATAGCTACATTATCATAGGTTCTGGGAATCCCAGTTCTGTTCCGTAAGGATACTGAACACTTTTGGTGTTCTCAGAACAGATTATTTTGAACCAGTCTCATGAGTTATTGAGCACTTGCTTATGGGTGTTGAATGCTTTCTACAAGGTTGTTTAGTGCTTCTCAAAACTGAAGCTTTAACCATACCTTTTTGAGGTCAAGATCATAGTACACATAGTACACTGTAATGTAGTGCAGAATTTTAGCACACTTAAGAGATTGTTATATCTCTCATCAGTCATTTTATTGTATTTTTAGTTATCACATAGTGATAGTACTTTCAGGTATTATTTACATTGTCTAAAACAATTGAATTTTTTTAAAAAAACAACCCTTGTGTTTGCTTTCTGCAGCTCAGAGAAAGACTCTCCTGTTGACACGGAATTCAGGTACAACACTTTAAAAACTAATGGGAACTTCCACAGATCCCTTCCAACCTCAGCCATTCTGTGACTCTGTGAACATTCTCCAGAAGTCTCTGCACTTGAGGAGTTTTTTCCTTAAAAGACAAATCGGTTGTTTCTGTATGCAGCTACTACAAGATGTAGAAGTAAAACAAGCCACTGAGTACTGGGGCCTGGCAACAGCAGGATGTGCTGTTACCTACCCTCAGGCTGAAAATCATGGAAGCACATTTTTTGTTCATGCAGCAGCAGTACAGGACAGTACACATTTCTCATATCTGGAGAACATTTGATTTTGAGTTGTTGACTGATATTAGACATTCGTGAGCTGTATAAAATAATCAAAATAAAAATGTAGTCAGCAATCCAAAGCACGCAAAGGCATTGCAATGTACTTTCCCCTACCATTATAATCATAACTCTATTGCATTTTTAGTGCTTCTATTTTCTTTTTTAAATCACCAATATTTCAGACTTAATAGGTTTATTAAGGCACTGAAATTCTTATGTGAATGTCCCTTAACTAGTCTTATTTTCAGTGATCTTGAGTGTGTATTAAGCCTCCTAGACTTCAGAAAATGAAATGTGAAGGTAGAGTTAGATTAATAACTGTAAACAAACAGTCTTGACAATGTTGTTTCTGATTCTAAATTAACCAACAGGCTTGACCCTCTGTTAGCCCAAGCAGTTTCCAGGGAGCTCAGGGAAGGTTTTCCCTGGTTGTTCTAAGGTTGGATTTTACTGTCTGCCTCTTTGGGATAATGAAGAGACTATGGTTGATCTATCTTGTATTATCAGAGGAAAAAGGTTACACCCCCTTGATGAAAATGCATGTTTGTTTATGCAGTCTGAGGGTAGGAGGCAGTTACTTCCACCTGCAGAATAAATTCCTCCTCAGTCTTTGTCTGCTAATCCTTTTCTTTACATTTAGTCTTTGAAGTGTGGAACCTTAGGCAGGTTCAAGTCAGGCTTTCAGAGGTGTTGCACACTTAGTTTCAGAATATTTTGTTCTCTGGATTTTTGGCTGTGTTTCTCAGTTTCAGTAGCAGTTTTGTTTGTTTGCCCCTTGACTTTGCCCCTTGCACTGTAGACATGGAACAGATTCCTCATATCATCAAGCACTTGCAAACTTTTTGCTTGTGTCAAAATATTATCTGCCCTGATAGATCATCCTTGTGTCAATTTGTAAATAAGATTAATTTAGAGGGGTTCACTAAATTCCAAGCCCATAATGGATTTGGGCAAGCTCATTGCCAGTTCCCAAATTCCTTGAAGTAATTAATTCTCACTGATGGCCTAAAAGCAGACTGTAAGCCAAACATGGGTGGTGTTCCCAGGCATTGTCCTGGTTCTCAGTGTGGACTGTGTCTTACTGACAGTGCCCATACCTGCACTGAACAAAAGAACATTTGATACAAAAGCTGTAGAAGTATTTTCTTCAAAACTTCCTATTATTTTTCAAAAAAATAACTTAGAAGTAACTTTTCAATTGCACTGAGAATTAAGAGCAGCAAAAGCACAGTTTCCAGTGATGAAAAGTAGGGGAAGGGAATACATGTTCATCTTGGAATGCTCAGAGCAATTGTTTCTTAATTATTGGCATGAGATTTTCATACTAATTGAAAAAGTGCTTCCCTCTTGAGGCAGAACTGAATGCTCTTTGAATTAGATTTTGGGGCTGCAGACTGGGCTGCTTAGGGGATTTTTTCTGTCTTTTTTCTTTTTTTTTTTTTTTTTTTCTTTTTTTTTTTTTGTTTCTGGTTCATTTTCCAATAAGGAGAATTCATAAAACATAATTAAATTCTAATGAGCCCTCAGACATTTAGACTTGGAAGCCTGTTAGCAGGGTGGTGTAACTGTGTGTCCTTTCAGGTCATCAAAGAAAATTGGATTCCATAACTTCTGAGCAAGCTTGGTGAAAGCCTGAAAAAATGAGCAGGGCAAGTGACCTCAACTCCTGATAAAAACAGATAAAGCAGCCCATGGTTTGAATTGCATTCGGGCCCAGCTAGAGAGGCTGCTGTCATGGCTGTCTAGCAGACAAGGGCTACGTTTGGGTGAGAGGCCCTATCTTTTTATTGGATTTGCTGATATGGCTGGAAAGAAAACAGATATTCTTTTAGGCATCTGATCCCTCTCTTGGCCCTTTTCTGGAGAAACAGTGGTATGTCAATGGCTTTTCCAACAGTATCAGTTGCTCTAATAAAAAGTGTTGCCTTTCTCCCAGCTCTGCCTTACTGAGGTCCTTAGGTTGCAACAGCCAACAAAAGCACTACTACTTTACAGTAGGCAGATACTTTTATTTTTAAATAGTATTAATAATAAACCATGTAATATAATACTTGTAAAATACATTGTAAACAGTGAGATTCTGTTGACCATACCTGGTAAGTTGTCCCTTCTGATGGTACATTATGGGTGCAATTCAGCTGGGGGAAATTTAGCAAATATGTTTTGTCTGTGTTCTCTTTTCTTGTCTTTGTAGACATAGAAAGATATTATCCATGGCTACACATTTACTTTGTGACTCAAGTCCTGTTCTTAGAATGGGGAAAACAAACATCCCGGGGGCAGGGGAAATTGCCTTTGTGCATGTGTGGAGTTATTTTTTTTAAACACACTTAAAATATCATTTTAGAACTTCCCTCCTGAAATGTGTTGCCTAATTAGTGCTTTATGTATTTTTTTTTATTAGTCTATCCAAAGAGAGCTGAGATTCAGTCTTTGGTGATTTTCTCCCTGCCATCTGCACTGCTCAAGAGGCAGCTTTACTGAGTTGGCCTTTCCAAAACCCCCCTCAGAGCAGCAAAAGAGGGAACGAACTGAAATGCTGTTAGGTGACTGATTTCAGCATTCTGTTAGAAATTTAACATCTTATGTGTTTCCTTGATGGGAGAGCTATTGATTGACCTAAAGAAAAGAAATTAAAGACAGTATTTTTGAAGACTTACTACCAGTTTCTTCCTTTACAAGAAGTTTCTTCTTTTACAAGTGGTTTCCAAAAACACCTACTCACTGGTAAGCTGGGAACTCTGTCTTGTTTTGGTTTTATTTTTTTTTCCCCAGGAAAAGAGGATCAGTAGCATATGCATCACAGAAGCCTTGGTTGCTCAATGCCACCGTAGAAGAGAATATCACGTTTGACAGCCCTTTTAACAAACAGAGGTAACAGGTTTCAGCAGACCTCGAGTTCTGCACAGTCCCCTTTTGGCCATGTTTTTCCTGAAGAACACAAGGGACAGAGTTCAGTCTCATGTGAACTTAAGTGCAGAAGTGTTTTCATCTCCAAGGACCATGTTTGTTTAGCATGCAGTGTTCTCCTCTTACAGCTAATTGACTAGTGTAGCTGTCTGAGAAGGCCCGTAGCTGGTTGGAGTGGGCATGCTGTTTATTTGGAACGTTGTGGAGGATTAATGGGCTGCCTTTTTTATTCAGTATAACTGCCTACGAAACATTCTAACATACTTAGAAGTTAATTGCTGGTATTCTACACCCTACACACACATCCCCTACCATCTTCTACCCCCCACCCTTAAAAAACTCATTGGCTATGTATTTACATCCCACACACATTTTTTTGTCATCCTTCAGTATTGAAACAAAAAACAAAGGCCCTGGGCATTAAAAAAGTTAAATGCTAAGCAGTAACAATATACCCTGGAAGGAGGTGTTCTTGTCTAGCCAAGTTTTAACTATTAAATATTTTTAATTGGAAAGCTGACCTAAGATGCTTTTTCTCAGCTGAAATATTATTTACTTGCCTGGGATTGAAAGAGATCCCATTAGAACAATTAGTGGCTAACAAATATGTTTTCCACTGTGTGATTTTTCCAGCTGGTTAATTTCTGCTCCACTGCAGGTAGGAAATGTGCTTCTGTAGCAGTATCTGTGTGGATTTTGTGTTACCTTTTTTGTTTCCACAGGTACAAAGCAGTAATTGATGCGTGTTCCCTCCAGCCTGATATTGACATTCTCCCTCATGGAGACCAAACCCAGATTGGAGAGAGAGTCAGTAAACAGCTACAAGCTTCTATTTTTGTTTTAAACATATTTTTTATTATTTTGTTGTGTTCTTAAAATTTTACTGGTTATTTGGCAGCAAAGGTGATCTTTTAGTTAAGTGTATGTTTGGGTCATTAGTTTCAAAAGCTCATTGCTCTGTAAACATGGAAACACTGTCATTAATGTGAGATGCAGTGATGTAAATGTGCTGCTATCAGAATCTTTGACTAATTCTCTGGCTGCTATCTCAGATATCCTGACTTCATAGTACAATTTTTTGTCTCTTTAGGAGTACCAAAAATAGTCGATAGATTTTTAGAGCCACTTCATATAAAAGAGGGCAGGTGTTTAATCAATGGCCAACTGATCTTTATCACATCAGAGATTGGGGAGTGACAAAAAGGAAACAAAAGTCACAAATTTGTAAACAGTTTGTTCTGGCATATACTGACTCTGTCACAAACAAAAAAATCCCAAACCCACAACAAACCACCCCATGCAAGGCTACATTGAAGAACACATTTCTCTGCCTAATCCCTGCACTGACTAACATATTATTTTTAAATGGATTATGTCCTAACCAGTTAATTGGGTAGTCAAATAAATGTTTTTTTGACAGGAGGAGGGATATGGAGGGGAGAGAGGAGGTGGGGTGATGATTTTTGGCAGCAGTACTGGCTTATGAGTTCTGAAGGTGTTTGTGAAACTGCAGGTGGATCACAGGAAGGATAAGTAATTTAGAGCCTGGTGGTAGCAGGGGACTAAGGGCCAAACCCAAGTGCAGTAGCAGGCAGGTAGTATTTACTTCAGCATAGCCTAACCTCCCAGCCAGCAATTACTGATTCCAGTATGTGGTGGAGCTGATGCAGTATGACAGCATACAATAATAAAAACAAACAAAACCCAGGGCACAGCCAGACTCAAAAGGTTAACTTTCAAGTAGAAGTCTAGTTTAGAGTGCCTGCAGAATATCTATGCATGCCTCCTACACCTCTGTGTCACCACAAACCATTGAACATTCCCCATCCCTCTGGAACTTATGGAGAACAGCTCCAGGCAGAGTGCTCTCATTTCCCAACGATTTGTGTACTGTTCCTGCACAAATTGCAGACCCACACTTTTGAAAAATTTCTCTGGGTTTCCTTGTCCAGAAAGGCTTCTGTGGATAATCCAATCAGAATATGAATAATCAGTTGATGTTTTCATAACTGCCTGATTGTTTTTCTCCTGCTTATCTCCAGGGTATTAATCTGTCTGGAGGGCAGCGCCAACGTATCAGTGTGGCAAGAGCACTTTACCAGCAGACAAATGTTGTGTTCCTGGTGAGTAGGTGCCATTATGTTTATGCTCCAAACTGAAGCACGAGATGCAACCATTTAGAGTGTTCCATGGGTAACATGCCCATCAGCGTGCTTCACTGAGCTAAGACAAATGTGCACTGTTTATTTTATAGCTGTTGCTAGCTAGCCTGCAGGTAAGGTGCATTTTTTAAGTGCTACAGACAGAGAGATATTAGAATACAATTTGAAATGCTGATGCTTCTCCGCTGTCTATTGAAATTTCTTTTGACCCTTGTGTTTATCTTTGGTACTTAGAAATTTAATACTCCGCTGTATTCATGAAATTCCTAACCTGTCTCAGGACTAAAATTAATGTTGTCCTGTGTTTGGAGTGTTTCCTTTCTGCAGCAAACTAAGCTGTCTTCTCACCATGTACTGCTTGCTGTATATCCTGTCCAAACTGCAACAGAAGTGCTATGGAAAAAGGAGTGAGAGCAGGCTCTAAAAACTTAGTAGGTGGGAGAACAGATGCATCCTACACACTTGCTAGTAGTGAATTTGCTGGCTTTCCAAATTAGGACTTCCTTCTTACACTGTTTTCAAGGAGCTCTGAATCCATCTTTGACATGAGCCACATGGGCTTATAAAATCTGTGCACATTAGAAGTCATCCCTGAAAGTCTGGGAGGTTACTTAGACCTTTCCCTGTAATTAGACAGATCAAAACGTGCTGGCTTCATGTGTAGGGCACTTCCAGGCAGCACCCAGAATGCAGGAGAGTAGAGAGCAGTTCGGCCAGGTGCTGCAAGTCAGAGGATCCAGTTTTGGGAAAACAAGTTTTTTTTGTTTTCAAGTTTTGAAAACTTTTGTGCAGGGTGCTCAATAGTCTATTAGTAGCAGATTATCTTATGGTTTGTTAATGTAAAAGCACTTACAAATGAAACTTTCTTCAGTTATTAATCTTTCAAAAATATCCAGGAATCCTTTATGTTAGTAGTTGAAAACACTCAGTTCTTTTTAGTCTGATTTTTGTAAACAAATGCTTCTGAAACTTTTCTCTTTCACAAGCGCTTACCTCACACTCAATAACCTTTTGTATTCTCTAAACTTCTTGTGATCATTGCAGATACGAAAAATTATCATGTGATAATTCATTACAGATTTTATCCTTAAATACATTCATTTGCTCTGCATGTTTTATTTGTCGCTGTCAGACTAGTCCTGTAGCATGAACTGATATTTTTTTTTTTGTAATCTCTGCATCATTATAAGCTTGTCTGGTGAGCAGTGCCATGGTGAAGAGCCTGGCTGGCTGTGCCAGGCCCTGGGACTGGCCGTGCTGGTGCCAGCCGTGCAGCCCTGCACACGAGGTGTGCCCAGGCCCAGGGCTCAGACTCTGCTCTGTGCCAGCTGCACACACTGCACACGAGGTGTGCCCAGGCCCGGGCCTAGGCCCTGCTCTGTGCCAGCTGCACACGCTGCACACGAGGTGTGCTCAGACTCTGCTCTGTGCCAGCTGCACACACTGCACACGAGGTGTGCTCAGACTCTGCTCTGTGCCAGCGGCGCACGCTGCCCACGAGGTGTGCTCAGACTCTGCTCTGTGCCAGCTGCACACGCTGCACACGAGGTGTGCTCAGACTCTGCTCTGTGCCAGCTGCACACACTGCACACGAGGTGTGCTCAGACTCTGCTCTGTGCCAGCTGCACACACTGCACAAGCCTTTGGCAGGATAAACTCTGTGTCGCAGCTGGAAGCTACTGCATTTCAAAAGCACTTTTCAGGTGCTCTCTATTATGATGCTCTGGTTTATTAGAATTTCAGTGGTCATTTTTCTTACTGCTGATGTCAGATATTTTTGATTTGCAGATACATGAAAGCAACAATACCAAAGTACCTACTGCAGTCACAATATAAACTGTTAAGAAATTGAAGGAAATAAAAGCTTGAGGGTTTTCTAAAGCACTCGCCTCTTTTCTTAGTCTCTCCTGAACTAACTGGTGGCAATGGTGTTACTCCAAAAGCAGAATTAATTCAAATTCAACCCTACTTCATCAGCAAACATCTAAAGAAAAACAAAAACAAAACAAATCCTGGTTCTCATGTAATGTAATAGCATGAAATAATAATACTACTAGGTAAATCCTCCAGCAAGTATCACCAGTGCAAGCAGTAATAATGGATCTGTAATTCCATATAAATAGGATTAGGTAAACAAGTCCCCCAAATGATGGTACAAATTAGCTTATGCCTAAATTAACTGCATATAATTAATTGATTAAATAAGATAATCTATGTTGTAAATCAAGCATCTGAACAGACTCATCAAAATTATCAACGTTTCTCCTTTTGTCATTCTTTGTTAGTAGAGTTTTCATTTATGGATCAAAAAAAAACCCTCAGAATTGGAAGGCGATCAGGCCCAGGGGCAACAGGCCCCTGCTCTCTGTCACTGCCCTGGGCAGCTCTGCCCCAAGTGCCACAGCCATAGGGCGCTGTGCTGTCTGAGTCTGACAGGAACAACGCCCTGCAGCTGAGCCTACGAACCCCAGCTGGTGAGGGGAGCACCCCAGAAAGCCTCAGGAAATCCCATCATTTACCCAGCTGGCGGTACCTTCTCTGAGTACTCACTGTAGAAAGACAGCTCAAGGTTTCTTATGTCATTTAAGAAGACTCTTCCTCAGAACAGTTGTGATCTTCTGATGGCCTCTTCTGACTGTCTGTATTGATCTCACTGGTTTTACCGGTATTAAAATCTGTCTGTCTCCTGAAATCCCGTAAGTGCTGGCTCCCACAGCTGACCTCTTTTCCTCACGACAGGATGATCCATTTTCTGCACTGGACATCCACCTAAGTGACCATCTCATGCAAGAAGGGATCCTCAAAATGCTACGGGAAGACAAGCGGACCATTGTGCTAGTGACCCACAAGCTGCAGTACCTGCCCCACGCTGACTGGGTAAGAAAGCTCTTCTCCATTTTTCTGAGGAGGCAAGGATGTGTCACAAACAAGGCTTTGCTTCAGCTCTCCACCAAGTGGTACTTTAGTGAGAAGAAACATAATGAAGATGTTTTGAAAATTAGCCTGTGAGTTTTGGGTGCCATGATTTTGGAATTAACATTTTAGAACACCTAAATAGGTTGGATCTTCACAGAACTGATACTTAATACTCTCATGAAAACAGGCTGCATTGAAAATATATTGAGTATCCAAACCCATTAGTTATATTTGGAAAATTTTGGTAATTTTTTAAATCTCAAAACACTGAAATGTTTGAGTGCATAGTTGCCTCTTCTGGGGTGTTAGTAGGAATTTGTCGGTGCTGTCACAGAAAAAGGAGTGTTTATGGGTGTGGAGGTGCACAGAAGGAAAAACCACAGCATTTCTGTGTGGTTAGTACTAGTATTTCATGTATCAGAAGTATCTTCACCCTTTGTATGCTGGCAAAATTTTAAGAAATGCCTAGTAGTCTATTGTTATGTTTCTTTATTATATCTTGTAGTTTACAGAAGAAAATAAAGGTATTATTTCTGTAACAGTTTGCCATTGCAAATGTCAAAGATGAAGCAAATCAAGCTGGATAAGCAGTTTGGGGATTCTTATTTTTTTTAGCTCATTTATTCACACTGGCCTTGCACTTAGTTCTCCTGCAGCTCTCCAGCTACAACACCACAGGTGCCTTGCCCACAAGGACTGATGGTTGCAGTCACACCTCCTAGCAGGACTCCTCTCTCATCTGCAGCTTGCACAGACTATAGCAGCAGTTACTCCATCTCCAGAAGTAATCACATGTCAGCTGCTTTCTCTTCTTTGTATCAGCTCACTGCAGAGTTGCAGACAGACATTAATCTTGTTCTGATCATGGTTTTGTGGGCAGCATTTATCCTTTATGGTGTCTGCTGTGACCTTTAAGAATTGCTACTCTTCTCCACACAGTTCTGGTTTTCCAGTTAGTGTCTCTCAGGACGCAGGAATTTTCTGCCTTCTTCCCCACCCAATGAGGTCCAGCTTAGCTTCCACTTTTTCAGTTGTTACAGATTTGCATTTTTAAAAAGATGCACAGCTGTGTCCCTGTATTAGTATCTTTTTAATTTCTTTTATGAATGTCGGACCCATTTTTAGGCATTTGTGTTTTAGGAGGTACTTTATGAGAATTTTTTTTTTTCAATATCTCCTAATTGGGTTTCAGTAATGTTTTATGAAGTATACTGTTCCAAACAGCTTGTAGGACAGGAAGGACTTTTACTAGTGAAGTTTATAATTAAAAATTATTTATTAAGAAATAGTTCCTTTTTTTTCCTAAACACAGATCTCATTAAGCCTTAGCAAGTCTTACC